TTAAAGTAATGTCATTTAGTGAGTATCCGGACGTAGTGGGGCTGGATTCGTTGAAAACCACTCTAAGCTTAGTGGTTGTACTGCTTGGTCGCTGGACCCCATGATGTGGCATGAAGTACTTTATGTCGAAGTGTCATGCTTGGTTTTCACCATGTGACCAAGCTCTTCGTAGTCACGCATGAATTGAGTGTAGAGCTGGTTATATTGTTCATCCATTAGAAGCCTTCGTAATTGACGTTGAAGGCATTTGTATGCTGTATTATAGACTCACCTAGTACCGTGACTGGAGATTTTAACGGTATTCGGACAATATATCGACCTGATGAGTGACGCTGATGAGTTTTCTTGAAGTAGTCCTCGCATTTTTGGTCTTTGGGTGAGCGCACGTTGTCTTGTGGAGTAGGAATTTTTCCTGAACCCAGAATTTCGTTAATAATTGTTGTATTGCACTGTTGTCTTGAGATACCATTGTATGAAAGACATTAGGTTGTATGGATGATGTGTGCTGAACCGGTCCAAGTACCAGCCAACCAAAAATTGAGGACTGGGCTATGGGAGTGTCTGGTGAGTTATAGATGACATCTGGCTTTATTATCTGGCCATAGTTGTCAGCTCCAATGATGATGTCTATTTTCTGAGGTGTCAAAAAGGTTGGATCAGCTAGTTCCAGATGGTTGAGGTGAGGCCAACTTGTAAACGAAGTGTGAAAAAATGGTAAACATGATGTAAGGCTCTTTCGGATGTGAGCTTCGATAGTGATGATTGCAGATGAGTGAATGGATTGTAGACTGCAGTTTGTCACTCCCTTTATTTTAATTGGATGGTCGCCACCGATTCCAGTAACTGTCAGTGCGGAGTGGCTTTTCTTTAAGTTTAGTAAGGTAGCGAGATTGTCAGACATAAATGTTATTTCTGAGCCAAGCCATCAGTAACACGACCAGTTTCAATTTACATGATGTGTCGAGACTATTGATGTGATGAGGTTGATGCTTGAGTGGTAATTTGATCCGAAAACCGCGAATCCTTCTCTGGTGTGCTCGCTCATGCTTCATGTAGCATTGTATGATGGCGCTTGGAGCATATTTTGCACGAGAATTGGCTCTTGCACATCGGAGTATTGTGCCTGCCAGTACAATTCAGGCACAGCTTCTTTTCTCTCACTAGTCTCAGTTTTTCATCGGGTGTTGATTTTTGAAATTTGATGCAGTCAGTGGTGAGTGGTGGGAGTTACAGTAATCACAAGTATATTTCGAATTTTTCCTCTGCGTAACCTGTAAGCTGCTTTTACGAAGGTTTTTGAATTGATGTGTCTGAGGTGTTGGTTTTCCAGGACTTTCAATATTTTCGAGTGTCCGAAGTCGTGCTGAGAGAAAATCGTTTAGTAGCTTTAGCTGCGGTATGTCATGGGAATCACCAATATGCTCCTCCCATTTCTCTTTGGTGTCTTTGTCAAGAAGTCGAGTGATGTGGTATACGAGAATGCAATCCCAGTTTTCCGTTGATTGCCCAAGTATCTCGATTGATTTGATGGCATTATTCATGGTGGTGAGAAGCGCAGATAATTGACCTGATTTTGCAAATTTTATAAAACACAAAAGTGGAAAATACCACAGAATTTTCAG